GGTATGACTGTATTTAAAGTACTTTCAGATGAAACTGGTTTGATCTGAAAGGAATATATATTCTAAAGATGTCGCAGAAGCTTAATTATCTAATGAGAACCTTACTTGATAGTACAGCACTTTGCAGTAAACACACAAGTGGTTTTCTCCATGAACAAGATGCTGTTATCAAACCATAAACACGTTTCCCCTACCACACAAATGAGTAATGTGATATGAGTTTCAGTGCCAGTGTGATTACAGGTATGGTAATTGTACATCTCAGTGACTGGCAGACCATACGAACCAACACATCCTTTTGACCATTTGCAGAATGCTGATCATGTTCAACCACCCTGAGCTTGCAAAATTTAAAACACAGTGTCCAATATCAGAGGTGATTCTGCTATTGTTACCGATACTTGTATAGTACGATCTGCCTGTAAAGCATGTAAAACAACACTTTTTACTGTACTTTGGTAAACATGACAGTAATAATAAATCAATATTGGACAACAATGAGTAGCAATGGAAGGGCCATCTGATTTTAGCATCCTGTTGGCCAGCTCTAAAAGAGGATTAAAATACCACTGGAGTGCTATGTGCATCATGGCACCACCATCTTGTAAAAACATAAGAGGCTCTGACCTAATTAAGTTGGGAGCTTCGATCACACCAAAAATACAGTCTTCATGAAATTGTGATTTCAAGGTAGGAACTGATCACATTATTATCAGCTCCCACTTTACCCTGTTTCACTAGGCATAAGTTGGGGCAGGTATATGGTGAAATTAGTTATAATCCACACATTGGAGTCAAATGGCAAACAGATATGACTTCTTGATGATGTGCCAACATAAAGGTCTGAATTTAACATTGTCACAACAGAAAATAAGTCTCTTACATCTTCTGAGACAGAGCTCTCCAGTAGTGTTTCAAGATTAAAAGTAAAAATAGCATCTTCATAACCAGCATAACATAGAACCCTCTGCAACATAAAGCAAGATTGAATCACAGTACGAGGTTTGTTGTGCTTGCTGATAGCAATATGTCTTATAAACACAGTTACAAATATTTACAAATATCAACTAATGATACTGTTTTAATATATTAAGTCTCCTCAATTGACAAGTGCCATTTCTTTCATAAAGCCTGCTGCCATCTTGTTCTGACCTACACTAATCTCACCTCAAGAACACAATGGGTCTCAGAGGTGAATTTGGGAACAGAAAGCATGAAAGGGGAATAGTATAATCAATTGAAAGTTTCAGAGACAACAGACTTGCATTTGGCCATCTTCTGATTTTTGAATTGAAAAGGAGCTTGGGACATTGAAGACAATCAATTATTTGTCATTTTATAATTGTCTGTAGTTTCAGAGTTCCTCCTATATATTTTAATAAATACATTATAGGTCTCTTAAATACTCTCCATTTTTTTTGTATCAATGACAAAGTGCTGGAGAAACTCAGCAAGTCAGCAGCATCTGTGGAAAGAAAAACAGAGTTAACATTTCAAGTCCTGTAAACATTCTTCATTTTTTTGTTTGATCATATCGGATTTGCAGCGCTTCTCTCTGAAGTTGAATATAATCTCAAATCTTAGTTTATAGTAAACCACTTTGCAGTGATTCTGAAGTTTTATAAATAGCTCTATTACTTGCAATGAACTTTTTTCTTTGTTTACATATGGATGTTGATGAGTCAGTCATAAAAAATGAAAGACAATTTTGTTTCTCATGAATTTTGCTTTCCAAGCTCCATGTTCACAGTTATTCACTAATCTGTAAAGGTTATTAAGAAAATTATCAATTAATTCCCCAGGATGCTAATTTTTTTCTGTTACATCTTATCCTTTGAAGAATTTTGTTCATTCTCAAATTGAAGCACTTACCAAAAGCTGTTAAAATTTCTTCAAAAGTATCTGTTTCATCTTTTATGTTTTGGTGATTTATGATATCATCGACTGCAGGATGTAACAATTGTACATGTATATTTACTTACTCAGCTAAAATTTAGTGTTTAATTTTGAATTAATTCTTTATCTCAAGAATGATTGTCTACAAGATGTCCAATTCTAAAGTTTCTGTTTGATCCTTCTCTGACTTAAATCTTTTTGATACTATTATTTTCCTTTCATATCTTCTTAATGAGGTTATTCATTTAAAGCCACTTTAAATCTGTAGCATCTCAATACTATTTGCCTCAAATATTTAATTATTCTGCAAAATATAAATGTTGCTAGCTTTAAAGCTTTCAATTTTGTACTAAAGCAGTACTCTTTTAATTCTCTTGTCTTAAAATCTCTTCAAACTTTTAAACTTTCTTTCTAGCAATGTTGCAGTACTCCTTTTGACTGTACACTTTAGAATTTTTTAATAGTTTAGTTGTAGTACAATCTTTTAATAAAACATCAAATTTTCTGTAATGACAATATTGTGGTGTTACAAGAGTCATAGAGAAGTACAGCACGGAAATAGACCCTTTGGTCCAAATCGTCCATGCCGACCAGCTATCCTAAATTTACCTTGGTGTAGAGCTGGATGAACACAGCAGGCCAAGCAGCATCAAAGGAGCAGGAAAGCTGACATTTCGGGTCTGGACCCTTCTTCAGAAATTTTTTTTACCGTCAGCTTTCCTGCTCCTCTGATGCTGCCTGTCTGCTGTGTTCATCCAGCTCTACACCTTGTTGTCTCAGACTCCAGCATCGGCAGTTCCTACTATCTCTAAATTTATCTTGTTCTATTTGCTAACATTTGGCCCATATTCCTCTAAACCTTTCCTATTCACGTATCCATCCAGATGACTTTTAAATGTTGTAATTGTATCAACCTCCACCACCTCCTCTGGCAGCTCATTCCATACCTGCACCATCTTTGCGTGAAAAAGTTGCCCCTCAGATCCCTTTTACATCTTTTCCTCTCACCTAATGCCCTCTAGTTTTGGACTTCCCTACCGTGGGGAAAAGACCTTGGCTATTCACCCTATCCGTGCCCCTTATGATTTTATAAACTTCTATAAGGTCACCTCTCAGCCTCTGATGCTCCAGGGAAAATAGCCCCAGCCTATTCAGTCTCTCCCTATGGCTCACTTTTTGCTGCTTTTAAGATTCTGTTTTTCATAGCAGTATCGTATCTCTCTAATGCTAACTGGGGATCTTCCTGCCTCTTTTGGATCAATGGTTGTTTCCCACCTTTTACAGTCCAGATGAAGTTTTCCCATGTTTTCCAGTGTAAAACAGACATAATTTCTACCTTTAATGTTATAAAACACAGTACATGTTGTTATTTATAAAAAAAAATTTGTAAAAAAAACTTCTGTACCTTAATAAATCGTCTCACTGATCATGGTTTAAAATTGAATCACGACATTAACATTCTATCTTCTTCCATTAGACTCTGTTTTCAAAATATTTTAACTTGCCTTTCAGTCACCTTAAAAGTCCCCCGCTTCTTTTCTTACACTGTAGACTTGGTATAAACTAATGCTCTGGCCCTTCCTCTCTCTACTGTAGCTGTGCCTTGTGAAGTTTGTTTGCAGTGATAGCAATGTTCATTTTGAAGGGTATGTTTTATCCTTTCCAGCCTGGTGCTTTGTGCCACTTTTTAAAAGTATTTACCCCTTGTCCATCGGGATTTCTAATTATACTTACGGAGCTGTAAAACGCTTCCAAAAATCCCATTTCTGTATGGACTCTGTTAATTCCCAATGTGGCTTGTTCTTACTCTCTTCCTAGCACACTCCATTTTCCCTGTAGCTCTCATCAGATCAGAGTGGAAAGGTTTCTCCCAGAGTGCACCTATTGCTGATTCTACAAGTATTGATTGTTTATCCAGTAATGCAATTTTAGCTGCTGAGAGACTGTCTGCAACTTCTTAAAGCGGTATTGAGCTTAATGTAGTAATCTTACTTTTCCTCTGAATTTTATTTTCTACTCATTCAAGTAGATTATTTGATCATTATTACCTGGAGGCATTTATTGCCATGTTGTATTCTGTGGTGCGGACTACTGGCAACTTGTGGTTTGCGTAGAACATTGCCGCCAATCCTGCTTTCTGTGCTGAGTCTAAGGGTCTATCTAAGTAGCAGTGGTAGAGGATAACCCCCTGATCAGACATAATGAGAAGAGACACTTGTTTTAACAATAAGATCTAGTTTATTGTATGGTAGCAATAAGGGCAAGTTACATTAATTAGTTAGTCTTTGAAACAATGCCCATCAAGAGCCAGAAATAGCACAAGTGTCTCCCTTACCTTGCAGCAGACTGACTTTTCTTCATAAAAAACCGCGTGACATCATTAGATTGGATGAAACTTAATACAGCTTCAATGAAAGCTCTTTCACAATCATTATCTTCCACAACACCAAGAATTTAATTGCAGCATTTATAAAACTAAATGACACTGAACACATGGGCATTACTGTGGCAAATGACTGAAAGATTGGTCAGAGGTAAGGTTTGTGGATTGTTCTAAAGGAAAACAAGGTACAGAAATGGAGGGAGAGCATTCCAAAGCTTGGTATCTAAATGATTGAGGGCACTGACAGTGGAATAATTAAACTCAGGGATGCATGACAGACTAGAAAGAGTGCAGATATCTGAAGAGGGTTGTGAGGCTGGAGGGGATCACATAGGTGGAGAGTGGGGCAGACCATGAAGGGATTTGAAAACAAGGATGAGAATTTTAAAATCAAGATGTTGCTTGGCTGGAGGCCAATGTACATCAGGAACAGCAAGAACAGTAGAGGAATGAGGACCTGGTACAAGTTAAGACACAGGCAACAAACTCCTAGGGAAAACCAAATTCAATTTTTATATATGCTTTTAACAACCCATATATGAACCTGAACAGGAATAGTAAATATAAGACTGTGAAAAAAATCTCTTTTTAATGGATTGAACTGGTAAAACATTGAATTTTTGACCTTTATAGAGATGAAACTTGATCTCAGATAACCATCCATGGACTACAGCATTTGCTTTTCGAAACCTCATAGCACTTTGTGAGGAAGAAACAGGATGAGATAATCAAGAGGGATATTCTCCAATGAAAGCACATAGTCGATACTCCATGGGAGTCTGCCTTTCCATTTTCAACCTTGACAGTGCTTTCCTCAAATTCTCAACCTAAAAATAATAAAACACAAGTCATGATGGAATTCCTGAACTTGAGGCAGATTTATAACATGACTTCCCATTTGGATTTTAACTTATAAACATGACAGGCTGTCATTATCAACTGACATTTTTTTTCTAATGGATGCTGCCAGTAAACCATTGAGATATATGTATATGTTGAGATACATGTACACGGAAAGAAAGTTGGTAATTTTAGTGCAAGTATTTATATGCTGAGAGAATACAATTATAATTGTTCAATGATACTTCTCACTATCAATTTAAAGGAATCTTTCCTCCTTCATATCGCAAAACCAAGTACTGCTGTGCCAACATAACAATACATTGAGAGCTAGTGATTACTAAGACTTCAATTTAAGCTTCAAGAAAAATAATACTCGCATTTTCTGGTGCTTTTAGAAGATTCGCTGTTAACTTTTACCTAACATGTATAACTTGCTCTCAGATTACACTGACATGTTTGAACTGCTTTGTTCTCATACCTTATCATGAATTCTTGGTTTATGACACATACCTGTGCTACCATGTCAGTTCTATGTTATTCACAAATAACACCTGCCAAACGATTTTAATTACAATTATTTGCTACATGTAATTCAAACATTGCTGCATTTCCAGAAGGAGTCACCAGATGGCAGCTCATTTTTCCCCTCCAGACATCATCAATTTTCTACCCTTAAAACTATCTGTCCTTATGACCAGAATGTAAGTTAGGCTTGGTCTTAAATACAAAGCACAGATTGTGATTAACAGATTCACTTTTCAGCCTATTTTGTTGTTTGGCTCAGCAGGGTTGGGCATTAAAATGGCCCTAAACTACATGTACTGCATCTAAATGAATGCCAAGGCTCCCTGACATGATTGGGAGAGACAATAAATGGCAAGGCGAGAGCAAAGACAATAGGGAGGTTGTGGTGAGCAATCAAGAGTGAGAGCAAGTTATTATTAAAAGTGGAGATGAGAGCAATACTCTTTCACCTCACAACTTCATAATCACATAGTCAGCTACAAGCAAAAGCAAGAAACTTATTTTGTAGGTCACAGATTGTGGCCGGCTCCTGGTACAGCAATCCTAAGCGTAGGCCTCCAAAGATAAATTAAACCTATTACATGTGTATGCGCAGCGATATTTCAAGCAGCTTTCTGCTTATATATTTTTCTTACTTTTACACTACCTCCAGCTGAAAACTTGCCCGTCCTTCCTAGGTGCTATTTGAGAGCTGAGCAAACTGAAAGCACCCAAAGAAATAGGACTATAGATCAATATTTCCTACAATTTGAATAAAAGAGGGACCCAGGTTTGAATTCCACCACTGCAGATGGTGGAATTTGAATTCAATTGAAAAAAAAGATCTGGAATTAAGTGTGTAATGATGACCATGAATCCATTGTCGATTGTCAAAAAACACATTTGGTTCACTAATATCCTTTAGGGAAGGAAGCTGCCATCCTTAGCTGGTCTGGCCTACATGTGATTGCAGGCCCACAGCAATTCTGGTGAGCAGTCAGGGATGGGCAATGAATGCTGGCCTAGCCAGTGATGTCCTCATCCTGTGCATGAATGTACAAAACAGGGACGGTAGCAAAGCAGTTATGTTACTGCAAATTTGTGGCAGCGTCCAGTTCTGGGTCCTGACCCAATGTCATGTGAGCAATGCAAATTGAGCAGGAAATGAGCTCAATGCTCAGCTACTCAGGACGCAGGAGCAGCCTGGTGTAAGGCAGATGGCAGTCATGAAAGGGCCTGCCAAAGAGAATAAGTGGTTTCTCAGAAGAAGAGGATAAATGTTTGGCCATAATGGTGACTGGACCAAAACCAAGGTAACACACATATTCCTGTGCAGACTGCCTGAGGGATCACTGTCACAAGAGGACTTCATCTTTCAGTCTGCAGGGAACCTGACAGCTGTGCAATGATGCTCAGCAGAATGTTCAAGATTCCCCAGATAAGTTTGAAAAATCCCATTTCCAAACACACTGACCCCTTAGCAAGCTCCTGTAGGAGCTCAACAGTTTGTTCATTGGAACCAAGTTGGTTCCTATTAACTCTCACAGCCAATACTTCGAAAATTTCAAACTGCCCTGGGGGCATGGATTTTCAATTTGTGCCTGCACTGAGCCTCAACCACATTTGAAAATTCATCCCCGCCAGACTTCAAATCCCACTAAGGCAATTGAAAGACTTTAAATTCACTTAATGAATATAGTAATCATAAAATGAACTGACTGTTGTAAAACCCATCTAGTTCACTAACGTAGTCCAGTCCATGAATGATTCTGGAATCTCAGTAATTGACTTTTACCCAACCTCTGAAGTGGCCCAGTAACTCAGTTTATGTCAAATTGCTACAGAGAAATCAAATGTACACACCACACCAATAGCATCTAATATCTTCATAAGGGCAAATAGTATGTGCAATAAATTCCAGCTTGCATCACAAGGATGAAACAAATTGAAAACAGCTTTTTAAAGGAAGGAAATTCCTATACTTCAGCATTTGCATCCTCAAGTGAAACTGCTTTTTTTGCTCGTTTTCTCTTCTTTCGTAGCTGCTGATGCTGTTGGATACAATGTTGTAGTTTCAGTTTGAAATCTTGGCTCCTAGAAATCCTACAAAATTAGAAGGAAAACGATCATCAGATTTACAGCATCTATTTCATGCCACTCATAGTCAAAGTTACATGAATAAAAACCTGTAGGAAATAGTCAGTCACTTTTAACAGAGGCTCAGTTTATACTTGTGTATGCTGAGAAAGTTGGGGTTTGGAGTCTGCCTTGAGAAAGATGATTACTGTAGGAATGGGGAGAATGGAACTGCAAGGATGATGAGTAATGGCATAAATGGAGGAAGGGGAATGAGTGAACTGGTCAGAGATGGGTGGGGGAGGGGCAGCAAGTGTGACTCTGTACTGAGGGAAGATGGTGAGGAGAGTGCCAAGATTGAACAGGAACAGGAGTTCAAAGAAGTAAAGTTAAAGAAAATTAAAGGACTACCTGAGGCTGTGAAGGTGGAGTGCCTCTGTTAATAGAAAGAGGAAAAAAGAGTAATGGTTGAGGTTGTCAACAACTCGCATTTATATGCCATCTTTAAAAAGGGAAATGCTGTGAAAGCTACTTCACATAGGCATAAATCGGCGCAGACATAAACCACTTAACCCCTTAAGCCTGTTCCACTATTCAAAATTCACAATTCAATCATGGCTGATCTGTGTATATTTTGAATTTCAGATTCCCATCTACCCATAATACCTTCTGATTTCATTGCCTAAAAAGAATATCTACCACTTTCTTAAAAAAAATTTAGTGATTCACCTTCACTACTTTCTGAGGGATGGATTTTCAAAGTCATATAACCCTCAGGAAAGAAATTATCCTAATCTCTGTGCTAAAAATGCAACCCCTAATCTGAAAGCGTGCTCTCTCATTCTACGCTGACCTAAAAGAGGAAATATCCTTTCCACCTTTTCAAAACCATTCAGTATCTTATAAGCTTCAAACAATTCATGCCTCACTCCTAAACTCCAGTGGAAACATGCCCAGCTGTCCAATCTATCCTAAAACAACCCACTCATTCTGAGTATCAATCTTGTGAATCTTTTCTGAGCCACTTCCAATGCATTTACCTCCTCTTCATTAAAAGAGGAAATTAAATACTATACGTTGTATGTGAGATGTGATCTGTATAAATGAAGCATACTATTCCTCGTTTTATGTTCAATTCCTTTCATAATAAAAGAGCATCCCTTTAGCCTATTTGATTGCACTCTGTACCTGCATACTAACTTGTGACTAGTGCACTGGAACACCCACATCCCATTGTATCCTGGAACTCCACAGTCCTTCCCCAGCTATGTAATACTCTGCTTTTTCAATCTTCCTGCCAGAATAAAAGACTTTATATGTTCCCACATCGTGCTCTTGCTGCCATATTTTTGCCCATTCACTCAACCTATATCTTTATGTCTTCTTCACAACATACCTTTGGACCTATTTTGGTGTCATCTGCAAAATTAGTTAGCATACATTTGCTCCCCTTATCAAAAGCATTGATATAAATTGTAAAAAGTTGCGGTCCAAGTACAGATCCCTACAGGACTCCATTCTTCACATCCTGATAGTCAACAAAGACCAGTTGGCCAGCCAATCTTCTATCCATGCCAAAATGTTACCCTCTAACCATGAGCTTTTATTTTCCACATAACCTTTGACATGGAACTTTATCAAATGCCTTCTGGCAAACCAAGTACAGTACATTTACAGGCTTCCCTTAATCCGCAGTGTATGTAACCCCTTCACAGAGCTTCAATAAATTGATTAAAGAGGAAATCCCCTTGACAAAATCATGCTGGCACTTCCAGATTACCTCGAGTTCATAGTTATAGCTTTTTAATGATTGATTCTAACTTACTCCCTATCACAGATGTCAAGCTAAGTACCTTACAGTTTCCAGTTTTCTGCCTCCCTCGCTTCTTCAATAGAAAAGTTACATTTGCTGCTTTTCAATCTGATGGAAACTTTCCTGAATCAAAGGTGTTTTGGAAAATTAACAACAATGTATCCACTACCTCACTAGCCACCTCTTTAAAAACCCTAGGATGAAATCCAACTGGACGCAAAAACTTTCCATCCACAGATGCAGCAATTTGCTTGGTACCATTTCCTTCATTACTTTAATTTCATAACTTTCTTGTCTTCCTTCAACCTCCTCTCTCATAGCTATTACTGGAATTTTTTTTTGTATCCTTTATTGTAAAACAGAAGCAAACTATTTGTTAATTTAGTCCTCTATTACCTTACTATCTACTATTAACTCCCCATTCTCACTTTCTGGAAGACCATCACTCACTTTACTTACTATTTTCCTTTTAAAACATCAGTAGACACACCTTACTATGCATTTTTACATTCCTAGTTGGCCTCATTCCTAGTTGGCCTCCGCTAATACTCTAATTTTCGTCTCCCAATTAATCTTTCAGTCATTCCCTACCATTAATTATTTATTGACCAATCATCTGACCTATGTGACAATGCTGTACCTTTAAGAGGTTATTTTGTCCTGGTTTAAGTGCAAGATTGAACAAGAGGTACCGAGTTATCTAGTTAATACCACTTGAGTCAACAGCTTGGGAGGCCTTGGGCTTTTTTTTAACAGCCTGAATGGACTGGCCAGCTCTCACAGATTAGGATTTCTGGGTTTTGGTTTCTCAGTAGTATCAGAATCTATTGGGATCTCAACAGGATTGGAAGCTTCAGTGAATGTCTCCTGGCTGCCACTCACTCTGAATTTTCTCTTGATTTTTTTTCCTCCTGGATTGGAGAACTGCATGTGAGAATCTGTGTCTGAATTTTCCTTTTTTGCCAAGGGGTGTGTTTATGGGATGTTACTATATTGGAGCAGTTAACTAATCTTGGTTACTGTATCTATTATTGTGTTAAGTTTCCAATAGAATTAAGTAATTCTAAATTCTCTATCTTTGGTTGTATTTTAACTACAGTATTTAAATAAAGTGTGTTTTCCTAAACGTCGAGTAGTTTGACCAGTTGCATTGCATCCGGAACAGGCACTTCAGATTTGCCTTTAAAATATTTTTAAAAATAGGGTCTAGGCTACCTTCTTAAAATATTCTGAGGGGGTCTGGTCTGGTTCGTAACTCCTGCCACTCATCTTGCATAGTTATGTATTTTTCTCCTTAAGGTTAATGCTTGTTCCAAATAATTTAGTTAACCATGGTGTGCCATAAAATTTAATAGGAATTTATTAATACTGAGTATTCTGAACCATCCCCTTAATTGTGTGTCATTACATTGCTGTTGATCGACTACTAGTTTGATATAGAGTCAAACAGTCGTACAGCACAAAAACAGAAGCTTTGTTCCAAATCGTCCATGCCTACCAAGTTTCCCAAAGTAAATTAGTCCCATTTGCCTGCATTTGGCCCATATCTCTCTAAACCTTTCCTTTTCATGTACCTGTTCAAATGTCTTTTAAATATTGTATTTATAACTGCACCTACCACCTCATCTAGAAGTTCATTCCGCATACGAACCACCCACTTAGTGAAAAAGTTGCTCCTCAGGACTCATCTAAATCTTTCTCCTCTCACCTTAAAATTATGTCCTCTAGTTTTGAACTCTCCCACCCGAGGGAAAAGACCTTTGCGAGTCACCTTATCTATGCCCCTCATGATTTTATAAACCTCTATAAGGTCACCCCTCAACCTTTTATGCCCCAGTGAAAAAAAATCCCAGTCTATCCAGCCCCTCTTCGTAACTCAAACCCTCCACTCCCAGTAATATCCTTGTAGATCTTTTCTGTACCTCCTCGAATTTAATTATATACTTCCTAATGACAGAATAACCAAAACAGCACACAGTACTCAAAAAAGTGGCCTCACCAATGTCTTTTACAACCACAACATGACATCCCAACTCCTAATCTCAATGGTCTGAGCAACAAAGGCAAGCATGCCAAACATCTTCTTTACCACCCTGTCTACCTGTGATGCAACCTTCAAAAGATGTGCACAGTTTTTCTATCATTGTCCCTGTGTTTGACGAATAAACTCTATACATGTCCAGCCACTTTGAGTGGGCATCCACAATGACTAAGAACATTGAGCCCATGAAAGAACCTGCATAGTCAACATGTAACTGAGTCCAGGATTTCCGGCCATTTCCACAATTTTGGGGCAGCTGCTGGCAGTAAATTTTGTCCTTGTTGTCACTCTGGGCAATGCCCCATCAATGCGGCTATGTTTGCATCCAATCCTGGCCACCAGACATAATTTCTTGCCAACATCTACATTTTGGAAACTCCAGGTGGAGTTCGGCCGGTATCTGGCAGTGACCTTTGCTCAGGACAATCACTCTTGCTCCACATAATAATATGCGGACCTCTACTGATTCGGTCTCTCCGGGTCCAAAAAAGTTTCAATTCTGGTTGTTTCAGTCCTTTGGTTTCCCTATCACCACCAGCTGGTTCAGTTTTGCCAGGACCGGATCTTTCAGATATTGTCAGCTGTGATTGGATGCGTGTCCAGAAAATTTAAAACCATTACGGACTCTTCCAGTGGCAGTACCACCGCAGGATGTGGCTCAATACATCTGCATTTGCTACTTGGCCTCCTGGACTGTGTTCCAACATGTAATTATATGCACTTAATATTAGAGCCCACCACTGAATTCGGCCTGAAGCTATGAGTGGCACTGCCTTGTCCTATTTTAAATACACTTGGCAGGGGTTTGTGGTCTGTTATTATTACAAATTTATGTCCGTAAAGGTATTTGTGGAACTTCCTGACTCCAAATATGACCGCCAAACCTTCCTTCTCTATTTGGGCGTATTTATGCTCTGCCAAAGTCCTTGATGCATATAGTATTGAGCGTTCCTCTCCACTGGGCCACCTATGAACTAATACTATGGGGAGGCATCACATGTCAATACCAGGTCTCGCTTGGCATCATAGTGGATGATAGCTGTTTTTTCACTTCCCTGAAAGCTATGGGTTGATTATGCGACCATTTCCAAGGCTGACTCTTTTTAAAGAGTTGATGCAAAGGTGGCAGGATGGAGGCCAGGTTAAGTATGAACTTTCCATAATAATTCACCAGCCCAATGAAAGACCTAAGCTCCAGTACAGACGTTGGAGCCGGGGCGCCTTTAATGACCCTCACTTTATCTTACAATGCGTGTAACCTGGATGTCGACTCTGTTGTCCAAGTAGGACGTATGGGGTGCCTGGAACACGCATTTTTTCCCCTTCTAAGGTATACGCCTGCTTGGGACAATGATGATTCCTTCACTTTCCAGCCTTCTGATTTCTGTCTCTACTTTTGTTCATAAGGCAAATGGCACTGGGTGGGCCTTGCAGAATCGCGGAGCTGCTTGCTGGTCAACAGACAAGTTGGCCTTGGCTCCTTTGATAGTCCCTACAACTTCCTGAAAAACTTCTGGTTATTTAATTAGAACTTCACTCAGGTAGCCATTTTGTAATCGAAAAATGTTGAGCCAATCTAGGTGAATCTTTGCCAACCAATTTCACCCCATCAAGTTTGTGCCTGAGACTTTTACTACCATCAGTGATAACTGAACCAGCAGCTTCTCATAAGAGATTGAACCGAAATTGTACTCTTAATCTGTGAAGGTTTTCTGGTATAGGTTCTCAGTTTAGTCAAGGTTTTGACTTAGTCAAAAAATCCCAATACAGATTGTCCCCGGTTTTCAAACTGCTGAGTAAAACCGATAGCAACTCAGAATTAGAGGAGGCTTGGGGTCGTAATATTCCTTAACTAAATCTATCAACTCTTGAAAGGTTTTAGTATCTGGTGCCTCAGGGAAAGTTAGGATCCTAATAACCAAAAAAGCTGTGGGTCCACATGCTGTCAGGAGAATTACTCTTTGCTTTTCATCTGCCCCAATGTCATTTGTCTGTAAAAAGTAACGCATTCTTTCCACATATTCAGCCCAGTCTTCGTTGGCAGGATCGAACGATTCAAGCTTCCCAAATAATGGTGTGATGCCAGAAATGCTTACCCTAATTCAAAGATGACTGTTGAGAGCAAATTTCTTAAAGAGTGTGCTTTTCTCTTGTCACCACTGAAATAACTCCACAGAGGCAAGTATCTCATTTCCAAGTCACCCTATATTTACACGTGGAGAGTCCTTGACACTGATCCAGCTCTGTCACAGTTAGCTCTAAGTGTCAGAATGTCTGGTTATCAGGACCAGGTTAACAGCCCCAATCAGGGAACTCATATTCTATGCGGTCCACCTGGCTGAACTCATTACAATCACTCCATATCCCTTTATCACAAGCACCCTGTATTTTCCAGGAATATTAATATGAAGAATATAATATATAATATACTTTAACAATATTCTTTTGAATAGGACACTGAGCAACATTACACAATATGAATGCAGATGACTAAAAGCTAGTTAAGGAGGTAGCATTTTGAAAAACAAGAGCAAGCTAGAAAGGTGGCGAGGTTTTGTAAAGGAAAGCCCTTAGAGCTGAGGCAGGTCAGCCAACCAATGTTGAAGTTTGGAATTTTCAAGAAACCAAAATGGAAGGAACATCAATAATGTGGCTAAAGCACATGAATTGAGGTTTCTGGGGATGGAGGAGATTCCTAAGATAGAGAGGGGCTAGTCATGCAGAAATTTTTAAAATCAATGAGTTGCTTAATTGGAAGGAAAATAAATCAGTGAGCACAGGGGTGATTGGTGAATGGAGTTTAAATGGAAGTTAAGACAAGAACAGCAGAGTTCTGGATGACTTTTAAGCTTCTGGAGGGTGGTACATGGGAGACAGCCAAGTGTGTGTGTTGGAATAGTTCAGACGAGAAGCAAGCACATATAAGTGTTACATGGATAAACTTAAACATGAGTTACACCTCTTTCATTTTACTGAATAAAGTCTGTGAATTGTGAAGAAGAGGTGCCTAAAGTGAACTGGGACTGTTCTTCATTGGAAAATATTGACCTTTTAAAGTGAATGTGAAAGATTCCATGATACCATTTGAAGATTAATTTCTAATATATTTAATTTTACCTTCTGTGAGGCTTTGCTATACACAAATTGCTGTACCTGACTACATAATAACAGTGACTGCACTTCAAGGCTAATTATTTGCTGCCTTGAGCATATGAAGGATTATATACAAATGAACATTTTGCTCTTATTTTCACTTGAACTACTTTGTTTCCCCTATCTAAATAAACCATGGATTAGGCTTCTAAAATAATGTTGTCTTTCCCCTTTTTATCAAAAAGAAAATACTGACAATATCTAAGGTGGATTTTCCTTGCATGTAGTCTTTGGCAGGCTCACTGGAGAACCACTAACTGTGGTCTGCCTAAGTTTTGAGCCTCTCACTGCTCCCAGTCTCATAAAAACATGTTAAAACTTACCAAGTGGGCTATCTACAGCTGTAACGCATGCTAAAACAGGACCTAGTGAACATTGCAGGCACCTGGTACATTCCTACAAAAGCAGTTGGGGCTTAGCTACATCACAAAACATCTATTTCCATATTGATATTGGTTACTGATGGATTCAAGCAGATGTGCAGGTACACCAGCAATAAGGGAGACAGTCAATCAGACTGCAATCCAGCTCAAATCCACCTGAAAGAACAGGAAGTCATATGCAATCATCTTAGTAATGCTGAAAACAGCAAATGCTGGAGATCACATTGGGTCAGGCAGCATCCAGAGAGAGAGAGAGCAAGCTAACGTTTCAAGTCTAGATGACTCTTCATCAGAGCTGACGTCAGGATACAGGTCACCTAGTTACCAGGATGCTGCCTGGATTCGAGGGTATGAGCTATAAGGAGAGGCTAGAAAAACTCAGGTTGTTTTCTCTTGAGCAGTGCAGGCTGAGGGGAGACTAGATAAAATTATGAAATGCGTAGATAGGGTTGCCAATCAGAAATTTTTTCCCAGAGTTGAAATGTCTCATACTAGGGGGTATGCATTTAAGGTGAGAGCAGAAAATTCAAAGAGATATGAAAGGCAAGTCTTTTTTTACACAGAACGGTAGGAGTCTGTAATGCACTGTCAGGGGTATTTTCAGCACAGATTCTAGCACCTGCAGTAATTTGCTCCTATCTTAGGAATGCTGCAGGCCTCCTTCCATCCAGGAGGTGTCCTGTAAATCTCACTGCTAAGACCTGGGAGAATTCAGTAGGTTTGGGTACCACTGGAATTATTAGCAACATTTTCGACTGACTGATGACTCAAATATTCAATGGAACGTTTTATATGAGGATATCTGTATCACAAAAATTGTGATTGCAGTTTGAACCATCTTTGAAAAATTTCTAATCTTACTTTGGTTCTTTTACTTTTTCTTCGTCAGGGTTTTTCTGAATATTTTCTTCCATATCAGACTTCAATTTGTCTTCATTCTTTTGCTATACAGTGAATAAACAATCAGAAAAGAACGAATATATTGATTTGGTGCAGCACTGATTTCACAGCCTTACAGTTTTCTCATTGCAACATAATAGAGCCAGGTGTAAAACTGGTATTGCCCTCCAGTGACCTGAGCAGAGTGTTAAGATAAAATAACCCTAACTTCCTCTGTGGTGAAGAAAGCTAGAATGAGGAGGCCTGATCTTAAATGAAGAGCCAGGTGATAGGAATCATTCTTTTTCACACAAAGGGCAAGGGAAATCTTGAACTCTCTTCCCCAAATATCTGCCAATGTTGAACAATGACAGAGACCAATAAATTTTTGCTGGGTTAGGGACGTGAACCAAAGGTGGGTCAGTGTGGTCAAGGTACAGTTCACCTATTTACCACAATGCTGCCTGGATTGGAGGGTATGAGCTATAAGGAGAGGCTACAAAAACTTGGGTTGTTTTCTCTTGAGCGGTGGAGGCTGACGGGAGACTTGATAAAATTATGAGATGCATAGTTAGGGTTGACGGTCAGTAGCTTTTTCCCAGAGTTGAAATGTCTGATACCAGGGGCCATGCATTTAAGGTGAGAAGGGGAAAGTTCAAAGGAGATGTGAGGGGCAAGTTATTTTTTTACACAGAGTGGCAGGAGTCTGGAATGCATTGCCAGGGATGGTGGTGGAAGCAGGTGTGATAAGGGTATTTAAGGGACTTTTAGATAACCACATGAATATGCAAGGAATGGACAGATATGGACCAAGGGCAGGCAGAAAGGATTAGTTTCATTTGGCGTCATGCTTGGCACAACATCATGGGCCGAAGGGCCCTTTCCTGTGCTGTACTGTTCTATGTTCTATTATTAATTGCTGGTCTGGGTTGAGACAATATATTACCTACTTGTGTTACTAATGCCTCAATTTTACCCCCGGCTTCTAGATCCTGGCAATGGGATGTCAAGCCTGTACTTGCCCACAGCAGCAACCTCACAGCCATTTTCCTGATGACTGCCTTCTAACTGGCTGCCTGAAGCCACATTGTCCAATTCATGAAGGCATATAGAATCCTGATGGAGATAACACAGTGTGGAGCTGGAGGCAACTGCCTGGCCTATTGTGTTCTTCCAGCTCCACACTGTTATCTCTGACTCCAGCATCGGCAGTTCTCACTATCTCTAGAATTCTGATGGAATTCAGTTACAAGTTGCCCTTTTCACCAACTATCAGACAATTCATGTCATAATGAAATGTCACTGAATTACTCAAGGGACAGATTTTATTGGAGCGGGGAAATCACACAGCATGCCCCACAAGACATGCTACCCATCTCCTTCACCCTCCTGAGTGAAGCATCCAAAGTGGCAAAAATTGACGATAAACCCACGAGATTGCAAATCTCAGTTTACCTCTTAGTCCTGTGGGTGTGCTGCCAATTTGCAAGTTACTTTTCCAGAACTATTCAGTTCATTGTTTCTGCCACGAGTTGCTTTCTCTGGCAGAATTCTGCTCCTTTAAGTTATTTGAAATGGCCAGAAATAAAAATCTTCTGCTTAACTCCAGACCCAAAGAACTCAAACAGAACTTGATGTAGTATGTGGTTACTATTTTACTTGAATATTCACCAATGGTAATTGCTCAAATTCTTCCTTATCACATTGTATATTCGGGTTCTTCAATTCTTTCTTCTTCCTTTGATCAAAAGCATATAAAACTCATAATTAACACATGACATCAAATATGCAGTAACTTTCAAATATCGATTTACCTCCCCTTGTCTGAGTTTAGGAATACTGGATGATGAGCCATGGCTCATGCCATGCATTAATTCTGAATCATCGGGTAAACGACAACAGCACATTAACCAAGTTCTTTGGCTGTGCCTCCACTGCTGCTCGATGTTGTCCAAGGAATGACCGCTATCTCTGAAGGAAGGCCACAGATCAGTCGGAGCTCTGCCAACTTTGGTAGCACAGTTCCTGCCTCATGCAAAAGTCAGATGACATCATCATAAAGCTCAGTATTCCCCGACATGAAGGTACCAAACCAGTATGCAAAATTTACTTTTGAAGCTTTCATTTGGGCAGGCTGAAAGCTTCAGTGGCATAAACATTGAATACAGTCTTGAATTCCACAGGGAAGGTGTACTGACTTATGGCTTTCTTTGCAATATGTCATTCAACATCACTTTCACCCCTAAAATGCTGGCTGGGTATTTTCTTTTCCGACTGATCAAAAATGAGGTGTGCATACTGATTTTGATGAATGACACTGTCCTACTTGCCCCCATCTATTTTGAAGCCACCCCTGAATTCAGAGAGCATCACAGTATCACTGCACCTTCATTGTCACTGTCGCTTTTCATTGGAGTTTGCTAGCTGACACTATCGGTAAAGAACTGTCACAGCAATAACTGCAGCAGGTCAGGGCATTTAGAGATCGGGTGACAAATACCTCCAAGATGGTGTGGTCGTCATCCTGCAACAATTCTTTTTAAAAAGGGCTTTTAAAAGTCTGGCTTAGATGGAAATCTTATCTGCCCCGGGACTCAATGAAAAATCATTCTGTTCTAAGTGTAGACAGGAATGTTGACTTTCTGTAGGGGTTCTCCTGACTGTTCACTGTTACTTCAGTGAGAATCATGGAAACATCAAACAGTGTAAAACACAGTTTCTAGGAATCAAACCGGATGGGTAAGCAGATATTGAGAAATAGTCTACTTGGTGTTTTCCATTGCTCACCATCCCTGGTGACCAATAAGCAGTGAAAGACTTCAACATGACCACAATGAGGAAAGCAGACCACAAACTCAGCAAATCTCAAAGTAGAACTCATTCACATCCATGACATGAGCAAAAAATATTTTAAGGCTATGCACAAGGGGCTAATTCTTATGGCTGCCTGCTCCTACAGACTGCATGCAAAAAGGCCACGTATATTAATTTGTTTACCTTTGTATTTTCTCTGGATAATTTTGGTCTTCCACTAATTTAGGTAAGACTGGAAACATTTTTCCCGTAACTTTTCTCCTCTGTTGTAAAGTGCCGTTCTGACCCTTGATGTTTGCTTTTATTTCAAAGTCTTGCTTTCTGTCATCTCTGTGTCTGGAATATTTTTTGAACAAAGAAAATATTCGTTAGATCAAGTTGAACAAAGGGAACCAGATAAGATTTTGAACACACCGAGTGTGAAAGTTCTATGACAGTGTAAAACGGGCTGTAGTGAATTGATAGCCCATTGCCAGGAATGAAATGCCTAAGTATTAGTGTACACCAAATTTATAACCTATTTGTAGCTGTTTTTGTTTTTTAAAATTCATTCATGGGATGAAGGCATTGCTGGTTAGGGTGGCATTTATTGTCCAACCCTAATTTTCCAGAGGGCAGTTAACAGTTAACCACATTGCTGTTGTCTGGAGTCACGTATAGGCCTGACCAAGTAAGGACAGTAGTTTCCTTCCCTAAAGGACATTAATGAATCAGATGAGTTTTCCTGACATCAACAATAGACTCGTGGTTATCATTAGACTCTTAATTCCAGACTTTTTTATTGAATTCAAATTCCACAGTCTTCAAATGGCAGTATTCAAACCCGGGTCCCCAGAACATTACTTGGGTCTCTAGGTTAACAGTCCAGTGATAATACCACTAGGCTGTCACCTCCCCTACACCTTTCTTTATAACTCTTTAAATAGGAACCGAAATGCTACTGTTACCTATCAACTCAGGAATTTATAGATGTTAAAGCAAACACTCAAGCATCAGGAAAGAAAGAGTTTGAACAAAAAGCCTCATGTTTGAGAGATTCCCAGAAAATCACCTTCAGAGACAATTAGAGTCTCTCTGCTACTCTGTTAAACATGATGCAAACTCTGAGTTTTGGTACGTCTGAGTACTAATGTTTAATGCACCAGAACCATGAGGAAACATTTGGGAGATTAGGCAGCTGCCTCAACTTTTGTATTTGTTCTGGTATTATGTTTCATAGAACAGCATCTTGTGAAATGACTGCACTGTGTAAGCCAGATGGATCAATTGGTCTTATCCTGTCTGACATTTTGGGTAGGCAATGGCCTACTGGTATTATCACTGGACTGTTAATCTACAGATCCAGCTAATGTTCTGACGACCTGGGTTTGAATCAGGCCACGCCAGATGGTAGAATTTGAATTCCATAAAAATCTAGAATAGAGTACTCATGATGACCACACACCCATTATCAATTGTTAGGATAAACCTACATGGTTCCTTATTGCCCTTTAGGGAAGGAAACTGCCATCCTTACCTGGTCTGGCCTACATGTGACTCCAGACCCAGAGTAAGGTCTTACCTGCCCTCTGGGCAATTAGGGATGGCCAATAAATACTGGCCTAGCTGGTGATGCTCTCGTGCCCTGAGTGAATATTTCAAGGTAGAAAATAACTAATTAAAAAGGAGAAATATCTTTGACGGAAAACCCGAATCATTGAAATGTCCAGAACCCACAGCTTCTCCAAATTTGTGATCTGTTCTGACTTCGCCGTAGTATCCGGATGGGATCAGCTACATAACTTATCTCTAACAGGCAATCGGTCAAATATGGGTGAATTCAATGGAGAGGGAGTGGGAATAAAGGTTGGGTAGCAGATGACTGGCTTAGGCTTGGAACTAACAGATTCCCTTCATAAATGAAAGCACTCTAGCTGACTGCCCTCCTTAACAAGAAAACTGTTAGGAACTCATTCCATAGCTTTCCAGATGACACCCCCTGCGTGAAGATACATATGGAGCTCATTTTCACGGCAAAAGTGATCTGGTGGGTTATTGAAAGTGATCTGGTAGGTTATTGCTGTGAAAAGCACAGATCACTGGCCTTTGCTTTCTGCCAGAAGCTGATCCACCTGCTGATGCAGGCCAGCAGCTCATAGCTGTGCTTTAATTTTTGCAGTTTTCTCTGCTTTGCTTTATGTTCCGCCCTATGTGTCATTAGACACAAAATCTATCCAATTTAGCAAAATCAATTAAATAATGCATGGTATTTCCCCAGGGTACTTTCTTTCCTAGCACTGTGGGTCAATGACAGGTCACCTTGTGGTAAAAGTGTCAGGTACAACAAATGAATGAGAATCAGGATCAATTCAGCATCACAAAGAAGGTGTGGGAGTCACACAAATCTTAGCGTGGTGGTGAGGTCCTGACAAAGGGCTGGAAAGCTGGGGCGACCTCACTTCAGCCGTTTTTTTGATTGTTTTTTTAATTCATTTTTATAGGATGAGGGTGTCACTGGCTCGGCAGCATTTATTGCCCATCTCTAATTGCCCAGAGAGCAGTTAACAGTCAAACAATTGCTGTGGCTCTGGAGTCACATAAACACTAGACCAGGTAAAGATAGCAGCTTCCTTCCCTAAAAGGACATTAGTGAACCAGATGGGTTTTTTTATTAACATGGTCATCACTGACTCTTAATTCCAGATTCTTTTTGTAAATTGAATTCAAATTCTACAATCTGCAGCGGTGGGATTTGAACCCAGGTCCTCAGAACATTGTCCAGGCCTCTGGATTAACAGTCCATCGATAATATCACTAGGTAATCACCTCTCATTTGCAGGACCCTCCGCCATTTTTACAGGGCATCAGGCAACTAATTAGTAACCTTCAGGGCAGATAGCCCCACCAGAGGTCTGCCAGCCAATCAGAAGGCTGGAAACTTAGCAGTGCTCCCCAAGAAGTGCTGGGACTCCAGTTGGAGGAAGAGGATCACACAAAAATACACCACCCCCTCAGGAGTTCAGTGAAGACTGTGGATGCCAGGGCCAGTGAGTCAAGCAGGTTCAGAAGCATGGGGCTGGGAGGGAGTCGGGGGTGGTTGGCAAGACAGAGGTTGCTGAGCTGAAGGGGCAGGGGCAGCAACTGGTACCAAGGAGCCAGCCCCTCCATGATGTCCCACCCCAAATCCACTGAGAGGCTGTCGTAGTTTACCTGGGGGCTTGTCACACACACAGACAAATGGCCACCTGCCACTGGTAAAATGCCAGTGGCTGGCGGATGGTGCTTTTACATGGTCACAGAAGAAGCTGAAATGCCATCTGGGCAGAAGGGTCATCATCCACCCTCTTCTTGCCTGTAAATGGCTGGGTGATTGGAAAATGATGGGCATACCACCTTCTGCCTTCATTTGCTATTTTATGGGACCCACCCCGCCTGCTAGCCCATCCTCAACTGGTTAGGTTGTAATGTGAGTGAGTTTGCAATACATTGTAACTCGAAGGGTGGCAAAGTGGCTCCGTGGTTAGCACTGCTGTCTCAGAGCACCAGGCATCCTAGTTTGATTCCACCCTCGGGTGACTATCCGTGTGGAGTTTGCACATTCTCTGTGTCTCTGTGGGTTTCCTCCAGGTGTACCAGTTTCCTCCCACAGTCCAAAGACGTGCAGGCTAGATGGATTGGCCATGCTAAATTGCCCATAATATCCAGGGATGTGCAGGTTAGGGGGATTAGACTTGGCAAATGCAGGATTATATGGTAGGGGGGATTGGTCTGAGTGGGATACTCTTCAAATGGTTGGTGTGGACCCTATGGGCTGAACGGCCTGCTTCCACACTGTTGGGATTCTATGATTCTCATGCTATTTCTACACCTCAATGGTATTCGTTTAAATATGGCCTACACTTGACGAGTTATAAAAACTATCCCTCAGTTCACATTTTCTTGTCATTTCCCTTTCAGGAATTAATTTACAGTTACAGCATTCAAACAACTGCTATATTACAGAATAAAACTTGCTGCACCTTTGTAAAAAATTATTTCTGATCATATTCATTTTGCCGCAGAGCACAGGTTTGGGTAGTGGCTTGCAACAAAATGTACGGCCCTGCACTGTCATTAGAGGTTCTATTGCTTTTTGCAGCTTTTCTTCACTCTGCTTTTCAGAGCAATTCTCCGGTGAATCTTTTATCGTTATTATCTTAAGGGGCTGCTTTACCATTTTAATGGGATGAATTGGATCTGTAGAAAAAAAAATAAAACAGACAACAATAAAAATGTTCTTTATTGTTTCTGAAGCCTTTGACATCTACAAAATCTAAATGGAAAGAAAAATGCAACGATTCTCCCTTGTTAAAAAGAAGTGTCGCAGACATTACTCCAGATGCTTAACACCTACCTTCCCAACCACAAGGCAACAGTTTTAATGAAATATTTTAAAATTTTAAAACAAATGCATTACAAACTTGAACCTTTACTGCTGATTATGACATCATTTCACTAGTCAAGTATTTCAGCATTTTCTGTTTTTATTTTCGAGTACAGAAGCAGGAAAGTTGTATTGAACTTTCATAGAGTTCTGGGTAGGCTCTAACTAGAGTACTGCACCCAGTTCTGGTCACCACAATTTAGGAAAGATGTGAAGGCCCTTGAAAGAACGTAGAGGAGATTCACCAAAATGATTCTGGGGTGGAGTCTTTTAGTTACGAAGTTAGATCTGAAGTGTTGGGGCAGTTCTCCTTGGAGCAAAGGAGATTGTGGAGAGATTTGATAGAGATTTGCAAGATTATGATAGGCTTAGATAAAGGTAGACAAAGAAAAATCATCTTCCTATTAGCTGATGCCATAAAGACTAAGGGACGCAGATTCAAGATTTTGGGCAAGAGTGCCAAAGGATTGATCTACAGGAGCCAACATGGAATCAATGAGCTGAATAGTCTCCCTCTGAGCCATAATATAATTGATGACTCATCACTCTATTGTAAAACATTGGTAGATTATACAGATCATCCCTTTTTAGCATATGGATTATGTAAAAATTCAGAACCTCATGCTTCCCCTTTAAAATGAGTAGCTAATTAAGTAAAAAATAATCTTAAATTATTTTATTGGTTCTTGTTACTTGGGGAGACCATCAGCTATTGCATCTAATTTGTACAACCTTTTTATTGTAAATGTATCATTTTCCTTGGTGGTGATGTATTTTATCACAAAAATAGCTGATGCAAGTAAATGTGGTTGTATAAATGAATGTTAATTGCATAGGGTTTCTCAAAAGGCCAATCAATTTTGAAATGTATTTATTATGACAATGTATTCTGAAAACTCCAGATAGGATAAATCACAGGAAATGAATAAAAGCATTGAAGATTCTTTGACAACACGCAGTGTGTTGCTCCATCACATTAAAGGATAAGGAGATTAAAAGTTATGGGGAGAAGGCAGGAGAATGCGGTTGAGAAACATTTCAGCCATGATCGAATGGCAGAGCAGACTCAATAGGATGCTCCTATATCTTATGGGCTTATAGTCATACATGTCTCAAACCGTTTTAAACAGAGTGCTATGAATTCAAGTAGTACTAGTCTTGGTTCCAAATGGAAAAGGATTGAAGAATTTGGTAAGTGGATCAGATTGATGTCTGATAAAGGGATTATTGGACATGCTTTCATGCTCCTATGTAATATGCAACACAATAAGCAACAGAAACAAAGTTGCTGGAAAAGATCAACAGGTCTGGCAGCATCTGTGAAGGAGAAAACAGAGTTAACGTTTTGGGTCCGGTGACCCTTCCTCAGAACCGGACAGTCCAGAGAGATGATTTAATTCTGGGAGTTAGACATCATTGGTCATCGGACCCGAAACGTTAACTCTGTTTTGTCCTTCACAAATGCTGCCAGACCTGCTGAGCTTTTCCAGCAACTTTGTTTTTGTTCCTGGTTTACAGCATCTGCAGTTCTTTTGGTCTTTATTTAGTATGCAACACAATAAGCTCTGATTTCACCAAAATTCCTCCCAAAATAACAGGTAATTTACAGGTACTTCATTATGGACACTAGGACTTCATTGAACATGTTGTTAACACCTAAACAGAAATCTGAATTCCCTGCTTAAGCCAACAGGACAACACCATAAGATTTCATTTTTAATAAAAAAAAGTTATCGTATATTAATAAAATTTTGAACTAAACCAGCACTATTAACTTAATAACTATGTATGTTATAAACTCACATAATATTCCTTACTTATTCAATAATTCTTCTATAGTACTCATCAATCATAAAGTTATTTACATCTGTAAGAACTTGTCAATAGTATGTCAGAGTCTCCTGGAGAATTAAGGTATTCTTAGAAGTATCTATTTACTATCATATGACCGCAGACGCATACATTAGATTCAAATTAGGCATTTTTTTCAGCTTGTGTTCCCTCACAAAAAATTCAAACCACATTTGAACCTCAGCTAAATTTTTAAAGTGACCTGCAAGAGTGAAGTGAGGAAATTTTTTTTCAATCAACAAGTAGTTAGTGTATGGAATGCATTGCCTAGAAGTGTGGTTGGGGCAGGTTCAACTAAGTCATTTAAGACAGCATTGGATGATTAGTTGGATAAAAATAACGTGCAAAGATATGGGGACAAAGCAAGAGATTGACATTGGGTAACAGTGCTCATTTAATGAGCTGGTACAGACATGATGGCTTTCCTGTGCACTGTAATGCTTCTATGATGCTACGATCTACATTCTTCATGATCAATGATAATGATTAAGCTGCTTACAGAGTAGGTCTATCTAATTGGCATTTATTTAGGCCATCTCTTAGCTGAGCTTCATAACACACGAGTTCTAAATTGAAACTTTTAGCAAATGCCCAAATAAATTGAAACCAGAGAACTTCCCTAAGCTCCACCTATCTCTACAGCAACATAGCCTTCTCTAGGTTGTCCCCACATGGACCTTTGGGTTACCGGACCCGAAACATTATCTCTGATTTTTTCTTTACAGATGCTACCAGACCTGCTGAGCTTTCTCAGCAACTTCTGTTTTTGTTCTTGTTTCAGATTAATGATCCCTCATTTCCAATTTCTTCTTTGATCCGATGAATTAAATTGATTTTTAGAAACTTTCAGGGTTCATGATGGCTTTAGACCAATGATCTCTAACTCCCAGAATTAAATCATCTCTCTGGACTGTCCTTGTTTGAAAGCATTGCAGATATCACACATCCAGCTCTTTAGACAAGTAACCCTACCTGCTGTTTTGTGGAACCATAGAAAGCTGCAGCACAAAAGCAGGCCATTCTATCGCCTGTGTCTGTACCAGCTACAAAACAAAAAATAGCCATCCATTCCAATCCATTTTCCAGTACCTAGTCCATGGTCTTGCAGACTACAGCAATTCAGGTATAGATCCAGGTACCTTTGAAAATAAACTGGTGAGGGTTTCTGCCTCCACTACCAAAACGGGTTGTGAATTCCAGCCACCATCACCCTCCTGGTGAAAATGGTTTTCCTATGACTCCTCTAGCCTTTCTACAAACCACCTTAATTCGGTGTCTACTGTTAATTCACTGGTCCTCTATCGGAAGCATGGGGAGATAGATGTATTCTATCTAGCCCCCAATAATATCCTTACAGTTCTATTGCTTATGTTCTGTCATTATTAAACAAATATAGGTTACCTTCTGGACTGCAATCTCTTTCTAGATGTTCTGACAACCTCTGAGGAAGTAAAAGTGGCATTCAAAAGATTAACATGATCATGCACTAGAAACATATAACAATACAGTAATGCTGGAAGGTACAAAAAAATCACAACTTAAATTCTAACAATTCAAAGTCATAAATATATTTTCAGATCCCTACCCATTTCTTGATTTTGATTTTCAGAAACAAACTGAGCAGCCTGCTGTCTGAGAAATGAAAGAATAATTTGGGTGCCTAAATGTACTATATCCAAAGGTGGAAACTGTAGTGGACAATTCCTCAGATTAAGTGCTTTAAGGGATAATACATTGCCTGAAAAAAAAAAGTAAAAGTAACATGAATTTAATATCATATATTCTGCAGAAAAAATTATTTATTTTTGCTGGTTTTATAAAGTAATTGCCATGAACAGAAATATTTTAGCAGAAGTTTTCTTTACCCAAATAATGAAATTAGTGACTATTAAAATTAATGTTTTACTCTAGGCAATTATGTAATAATCCCTACCTAGTTCAAGCGGTAACTCTATGAGAGGGTTTGTCTCCAACAAAAGTGTTCTAAGACATCTGAAAAATAAAATTTCTTTATTGTCTTTACTCAGTCAAAAAAATTAATTTCTAACATATCATACTACTTAAATAACTCTAAGTTCTATAAATTTAAAACAAATATTGCAGCAATCTATAAAACAGCATTATGTTAGCCTTGATTTTCTTTCCCTCTTCCCCATGCAATTCTTTTGGCTCCCAGTGTTACGGAGAAGGGGTAAGTCAAAGCCCTCTGATAGATAAACCGAAACACAAGCCCCAATGTGTTATGGTGGGGAATAGAGGTTCCCTTCTAATAATTAACCGCAAAACACCCAGAGAAGCTCACCTTTCCCCATGTAATCTGTTAAAAGAGTGGTTAAAAGAAAGAAATCCATGATATCCACTTTTTAAATAACAAGTAACAATTTATTTATGTAACTCTAACAGCGACCAAATTAACAGACTTACTAACAAACCGAACAATTCCCCCCTAGACTACTAACTACTCCCTAACTGGCCTAAATTCTAGAGGAATGCTGGTCAAATAAACACAAATCCCATTTATATAAACCCAATTAAAACTTAATCTCTCCAAATTCGCACAGACTATGTCTTCTGGAACACTCTGCCTTCTCCAGCCTTTCTTCTATTGATCTCAAGCCACAAATGTCTTTCTTCCACTGATTCTGCTGTCAGGGATGTTTTCTCTGTAAAGACTCTTAGCTAGAAGTGCTGTGGTATGTTTAATAAATGAGATGGTGCTTTCTCTGCGAGCTAAAAGGTGTTGTCTCTTGGGACAACAAGGTGCAGGGCTGGATGAACACAGCAGGCCAAGCAGCATCATAGGAGCAGAGAGTTGGCTCTATCTTGATTTTCCAAATGCCCTCTTTTTTATACCCTTGATGGCCTGTCCATTTATTACACTAGGGTTAGTTCCAGTTGGTCAACACCATTAAATTTAAATTCAATTGGCTTTTGGTATCTAGGGCCTGGCTTAAATTAATTGGCTAAATTCAAACTAGGTGCCAAAACATCAAAACAAGACTGCTGCTTTGCTGACAACTGTAAGGCCTTTTGATGCATTTGTTTCAATTTTGGGGCTCTCTGTAGAATGCTTGCAAACTTCCAAGCACGGACAAAACACAATCTCTTCAAGGGACCACACACATTTTTTTCAATTCTTGAGTACTCTACACAACTTTGTACCACCAGTTTCAAAATCCCCTAAATGAAACATTTAAGTTAAAGAACACAGTTTGTGGAGGGCGATATCACCTTCACTCACTATACCCTTTTTACACTGTAATGAAAATTCAGCTTAGATGGCTTGTTCAAACCATGCAGTATGATTTGCATAACCTTTGATTCAGGAGTAAGAGAACGGGTAATTGAGTGAAACTGACACAAACGTAAGCAGATTCTTCCTGAAATAGTGATACAGGGATGCTGTACCTCTTGCGGGCTGAGATGAAATTGTGCAACAGAGTTGCCACAAGTCAGAGTACTTAAAGTACACAAAGTACACGTTTTGTGCATAGAAACCAGTGAGAGAAGAAAGCAAATACACACTTCTTGTTCCCACCAGCCCCCACCCTGGTTAGACACTGAGTCTTACAGCATAGAAAGAAGCCTTTCGGCCCATATGTCCACACTGGTCATCAAACAAGCATGTCTTTTAATCCCATTTGAAGGCAGCGTTTCTGGGCAAGGGTGGGTTGGTTACCTCATTTGGCAGGATGGCTAGTTTGTGATGCCAACAGTGTGAGTTTAATGGCTCTCATGGTCTCAACCTCTCCGATCGTCTAAGGTATGGTGACCCTCAGGTTAAACTACCAGCCTCTCATGAGAAAGCAGCCCCATGGTCCAGTAGGACTATGGTGACTTTACCTTTCCGGGCAAGATCTTACTTTTCCAGGAAATTTTACATTTTACAATTAGAAAGACCAACATTTGTATTCACTAATTGTCCTCTAAGGCAATTATGAGGCCATTGAGGAGTTACCCACATTATGGATCTGGACTTATGTGTAGGCCACTCAGGTAAAGGCTGGCAGAAGGATGATAGTGAACCACATCGGTTTTTACAACAATTGATGATTGTGATTCTAGATTTTTAAAATTAATTTAGTTTGAATTCCACCTGCTCTTGTGGTGGGATTTGAACTTGCTCCCCCATAACATGAATCTGGGTCTCTGGTTTACTGCTCCAGTGGCATTCCCCCTACACACCATCTTCCCCAACTCTCACGTCAGCTAAGCACCCAGAGTTCTGAAGGAGATAGCTGAGGAGATTGTACAGGCATTGGTAGTGATATTTCAGGAAACACTAGAGTCAGGGGACATGCCAGAGGACTGGAAAATAGCTAATGTAACACCACATATAAGAAGGGAGGGAGGTGGAAGACAGGAAACTATAGGCCCGTTAGCCTGATCTCGGTCGTTGATAAGATTTTAGAATCCATTTGGTATGAGATAACAGAGCACTTGGAAGAGCATGGTAAAATAGAGCTGAGTCAGCATGGCTTTGTCAAAGAGAGGTCATGCCTGTCAAATCTGTTAGAATTCTTCGAGGAGGTAATGAGCAAGTTAGATGAAGAAGAGCCAATGGTCATGATTTTTTTTGTATTTCCAGGAGCCCTTTGATAAGGTACCACACAGGAGGCTGTTGATTAAGGACAAGGTACTGGCATGGATAGAGGATTGGCTGTCTGACAGAAAGCAGACAGTAGGAATAAAGGGGTCTTTTTCAGGACAGCAGCCAAATGACTAGCAGCATTCCACAGGGGTCCGTGTTGGCACCACAACTATTAATGTTATACATTAACAATCTGGATAAAGGAAATGAGGGCATTATTGCTAAGTTTTCAGCAAGATGGAGGGACAGGTAGTGTTGAAGAAGCAGGGAGGCTGTAGAAGGACTTGGACAGGCTAGGAGAGTGTGCAAAGTGGCATAAGGAATATAACGTGGGAAAGTATGAGGTTATGCAATTTGGCTGGAAGAATAGAGGTATAGATTATTTTCTAAGTGGGAGCCCTGGTTCAGGATTCTCTGAAGGTTAACATGCAGGCTCAGTTGGCAATTAAGAAGGCAAATGCAATGTTAGCATTCATTTCAAGAGGACGAGAGCACAAGAGCAGAGGCGTATTGCTGAGGGTCTAAAAGGCTCTGGTCAGAACACATTTGGAATATTGTGAGCAGTTTTGGGCCCCATATTACAGGGAGGATGTTATGGCATTTGAGGGGACCAGAGGAGATTTACAAGAATGTGTTATGAGGTTGAAAGACTTGTTATGTGAGGAGCAGTTGAGGTCTCTGGATCTGTACTTGATAGAATTTAGAATAATGAGCAAGAATCTGACTTAAACTTACAGAGATGCCTGGATATAGTGGACGTAGTAGGAGAGACAAGGACCTGAGGGCAGAGCCTCAGAGTGAAGGGTCGCTCCTTTAGAACTGAGATGAGGAGGAATCGGGAGATGATGGCTGAGTGGTATTATCGTTGGACTGTTAATCAAGACACCCAGATAACATTCTGGGGACCCGGGTTCGAAACCCGCCATGGCAGATGGTGGAATCAGAATTCAATAAAAAATCTGGAATTAAGAACCGAATGATGACCATGAATCCATTGTCAATTGTCAGGAAAAACCCATCTGGTTCACTAATGTCCTTTAGAGAAGGAAACTGTCATCCTTACCTGGTCTGGCCGACATGTGACTCCAGACCCACAGCAATGTGATTGACTCTTAATTGCCCTCTGGGCAATTAGGAATGGGCAATAAATGCTGCCTAGCCTGCGATGCCCTCATCCTGTGAATGAATAAAGGAAAAAAATATCTATAGCCAGAGGGTGGTTAATCTGCTGCAGAAGGCTGTGAAGACCAAGTCATTGAGTGTATTTAAGGCAGAGTTTGAATAGGTTCATGATTAGTAAGAGGATCAAGGGTTAAAGGGAAAAGGCAGGAGAATTGAGAAATATATCAGCCATGATTGAATGGCGTAGTAGACTCATTAGGTCGAATGGCCTAATTCTGCTCCTATATCTTATGGTTAGAGTCCCATTAATGACTGTAACAAGGACCTAAACATTTTTCCGGGAAAAAACCCCATTCGCTCCAAACCATGAGATCTGAAGGTCAGATTTTTTAGTACCAATTCAGTCATGAAGGCAGCATTGAGTCACTTCCACATTGCTGCTGGTAGTTTGAGACAAACACTGCTGTTGCATATTCCCCCAAGCTATGCAAATTATTCCTTTCCTGGCATTCAAGATAGGATAAGGACCTGGAGGGTGGGGAAGGGATTCCTCTCCAGTGCATTTATACAAAGACCCTAGGAATTTGGGTCAACATGCCCCTTAGGACATGTAGGATCAATCAGTTTTTGAGTCCTGGATCCATACCTGTGAGTTCCAATTCTCGCAGGTAGCTTCTGCAGTCTATTCTTTCTCAAGTCCAACCACACCAGCTGTGGCAGATGATCAAACAATTCGCCTGGCAACTCCTGAAGCAGGTTGCCCTCCAGATACAGATGCTGTAGGAGAGCAGAGCCATATGTACTAGGAATTATCAAAACCTGTTAAAAATGTTGACCGTTTTATGAAATTTACAACACTGCAAATGCACATAGATTTGTCCAAAATGGATTTATATCATATCAAGAGATATGTCTTAGCCGATAGGCAACATAAATGCAGACAAAAATAAATTAATTAAAGAAAAAAAAATTTAAAATAGGAAGTAACTTTGTCTTTGACCGAATGGTCTAACATGTATTATACTGATTCAGCATCCTGCTCTGCATGTCTTCAATTTTAATTGAAATTACTCTCCCTATAGAGAAATTGATAAACAGTAGGGTACGTTCTTCTACCAACAATAGAGCTTAGTAGAGAAAAGTTTTTATCTGGCTTCTTTGCATGGAAAAGATTGCTCCAATTCTAAAAATCTGTTAACGAAGTCACCTTTGGGGGCTGTGCCTACCATTAAATAGCAGATGTGTTGATGCATAATACAACAAGGGACATGTGAGCAACATGGTTTGACATAATGTTGAAGAATGAAGAGATCCTGTTGACAGGAGACTGGAGGCAATGGAGATAGGTCCTATTTCTAACTGCAGATTGTTGCATGAGGTAATAGTTCTGAAAGGGTTAGTACTGAAGACTGCATTTAGCTCCATCCAAACTGTTAATGTCATAAGGATTTGGGTGGGGAGAGGCAGAACAGCTCTGGATCTCAAAGGAGACAGACCTAGACAGACCTATCATCTAAATCATAGAATCTGACTTTTACTGCGTGGTAAGTGGCCCATCAGCCCATCATGTCTGTACCAGTCATCAAGCACCTATCAGCTCTGTCCCATTTTCAAATGGCCCATATCCTTGTATGTTGTGGCATTTTAAGCAATCATTTAAAAACTTCTTAAAATGTTGTGATGGTTCCCACTTCTATCAACTTTTCAGGAAGTGTTCCAAATACCCAACACCCTCTATGTAAAATAAATCTTCCTTAAATCCCCTCTACATCTTCTGCTCTTTACCTTATATCTATGCCCCCTGTTATTGATCCTTCTACTATGGGGAAAGGTTTGTTCTCATCTACAATAGCTAAGCCCTTCACAGTTTTGTGCACTTCAATCAGGTTGCTCCCTTAGCTTTCTCTGCTCTAATGAAAACAACCCTGCCGCTGTAGGCTCACTTCGAAGTTGATTTGCTTCAGCCCAGGCAAAATCCTGGTGAAACTTCTTTGCACCCCGTCTAGTGCAATCACATCCTTTCTATAACGCGGTAAACAGAACTGCACACACTACTCCAACTGTGGCCTACCTTGTATTTAGCTCTATCACAACTTCCCTGCTCTTGTATTCAATGCCTCGACTATTAAAGGCAAGTATCCCATATGTTTTCTTAACTACCTTATATAGCCGTCCTGTTGCATTCAAGGATCTGTGGACATGTACATAGAAGGTCCCACTAGTCCTCTGTACTTCCTAGGGTCTGACCATTCATCATGCACTCCCTTGCCTTATTGGTCCAAGCAAAATGCATCAACTCATACTTTTAAGGATTAGTTCTATTTGCCACTGTGCAGCCCATTTGACAGCCAATGTATATCTTCCTGTAGTTTAAGGCTTTTCTCCTCGCTATTTACACTATCAATTTTCATGTTATCTGCAAACTTACTGATCAAACCTCCCAAGTTCATGTCTAGATCATTAACATGCACTAAAAGCAGCAAGGGACCCAGCACTAAACCCTACAGTATGCCATTGGGTACAGGCAACCTTTGAACGTCACCCTCTTCTTCCTACCATGAAGCCAATTTTGGATCCAATTTGCCAAATTGCACTGGATCCCATTGGCTCTTAACTTCTTGACAAGTCTCCAATGCAGAAGCTTGTCAAAATCCTTACTGATGTGCATGGAATCAATATCCACTGTACTGCCCTTATCTACAAATCTAGTCACCTCCTCAAAAAACACAATCAAACTTGTCAGACATGTTCTCCTCCTGACAAGAGCATGCTGACTATTCTTACGTCTCCAACTGGAGATTAAGTCTGTAGCTCACACTTTTTTCCAATAGTTTCCCTACCACTGACACAAGACTCACAGACCTATGGTTCACTGGTTTATCCCTACCACCTTTCTTGACTGATTCCACATTAGCTGTCCTCCAGTACTCTGACATACCTCCTGCGTCCAGACAGGATTTGGAAATTAATGTCAGGACTCCTACAACCTCCTCCCTTGCCTCTGACATATGTCATCTCGGCTTTGGGACTTAACTAATTTTAAGTTCATTGAAACCTCTAATGTCTCCTCCAACTCAATTGTAATTTGTTCAAGTATATCACTGTCTCCTTCCTTAATTTCTATACCTATGTTGTTCTTCTCTATCATCAATACAGACATAACGTAGTTATGTAAAACCTCACCAATGGCTGCCAGCTCCATCCACAGCTTACCATTCACCAAAGACCTCCAGACAACACTTTCTAAACCCACAATCACTTCCATCTAGAAGGACAAGGGCAGCAGAAACATGGGAACACCACCACCCGCAAGTTATAAAATCATGAGGGACATAGATAAGGTGAAGAGCAAAGATCTTTTCCCCAGGGTAGGGGAATTTAAAATCTGAGGACATAGTTTTAAGTTGAGAGGGGAAAGATTTAAAAGTGACCTGAGGTGTGCCTTTTCACACAGATGGTGGTGCGTACATGGAATGAAATGCCAGAGGAAGGGGTAAATGCAGGTGCAGTTACAATATTTAATAGACATTTTAACAGGTTCATAAATAGGAACAGTTCAGAGGGATATGGACCATGTGCAGGCAAATGTGACTAGTTTAGTTTTGGAAACTAAATGTGCATGGGCAAGTTGACTGAAAGGTCTGTTTCTGTGCTGTATGACTCTAATGACTCTATGAGTTGGCTGGATGGCTGGTTTGCGATGCAAAGTGATGCTAACAGCATGGGTGCAATTGCCACACCAGTTCAGGTTACAACCTCTCCCTTTGCCTGAGGCATCATGACCCTAGGGTTAAACCACCACCAGTTGTCTCTCTCTAATGAGAAAGCAGCCCTATGGTCTAGTAAGACTATGGTGACATTACTATTTACTCGAGCATCCCTTTCTTTCTTATCCACTTCCGTACACTTTTTGCTATCCAGGATTCTCTGGTGTTTTTGGTTCCACTCTTCACACGTACAGGTACATGTTGGAGGCCTGCACATTCTCTATTTCCTTTTTGAAAGACTCCAACTGTCCGACGTAGGTGTCCCTACAAGTAGTTGCTCACACTCCACTTTGGCCAGATCCTCTCTTATCAGCCTTGCCCCAATTCATAACCTTTATTTCCCGGCCATTCTTGTCCTTTTCCATGACTAACTTAAAACTTTCTGAGTTACGGTCACCATCACCGCAATGCTTTCCCAATGAAACTTCTACTATTTGCCTGGCTTTGTTCTCTAAAATTAGATCCAGCTCATTTGTAGGACTTCCTGCACGGTCTTTAAAAGCATTAAAAGGTATTTATGAATACCAGCTTCCATTATGCCTTTCACATGTTGTCTAACCCAGTTAATATTGGGAAGTTGAAATCCCCTGCTATTACCACCCTATTGCTTTTACAATACTCTGAAATTAACTGCCCTTCTACCTCTTCCTGAAAGTTTAGCGTTTATAGTACATGCACAACAATGTGATAGTCTCCTTTTCATTCTTAACTTCTATTCATATTGCCTCAGTTGAGGAGCCTTCTATGATATCATCCCTCTTTATTGCAGTAATTGACTCTTTCATCAATATTGCATCACCAACTCCTCTTTTATACCCTTCCCTGTCTTGTCTGAAGACAATACATCCCAGAGTATTGACCTGCCAGTCGTGTTCCTCCCTCAACCACATCTCCATGATAGCAAAGATGTCATGTACCCATGTGTTAATCAACAACCTTAACTCATTTGCTTCACTCGTGAGACTCATTGTATTAAAATAAACGCCATTCAAACTTGCCATTCTCTCTTGCGTTCCATGTGAAATTAACTGCAGGGTGAAGATTGCCTTGACAGCAAAGGAACTGTTGTGGCACAGTGGTAGCGTTCCCTGCCTCTGATCCAGGAAGAACCTGGGTTTAAGTTCCACCTGTTCCACCTGTGTGTAATAATATCTCCAAACAGGTTGATCAGAAAATATTTGCATTGTCACCTATGGTAAGTAAAGCAGTTATTGTAATTACCATTTCTGCAGATGAAGGACATGTTCAGATGGGCATGGCCAAACTAGGGGACACAGTCTAAGAATAAGGGGTAAGTCATTCAGGACTGAGGCGAGGGAAAATTTCTTCACCCAGAGAGTTGCGAACCTGTGGAGTTCTCTCCCACAGGAAGCTGTTGGGGCTAGTTCATTAGATATATTCAAGAGGGAGCTGGATATGGCCCTTGCGGCTAAAGGGATCAAGGGATATGGACAGAAATCAGGAATGGGAAATTGAAATTGCACGATCATATTGAATGGTGGTGCAGCCTCGAAGGGCTGAATGGCCTACACCTGCACCTAGTTTCAACCTAGTTTTACCAGCTGGCATAGAGTCGCACAGCATGGAAACAGACCCTTCAGTCCAACCAGTCCATGCCGAACATAATCCCAAACTAAACCAGTCCCACCTACCTGCTCCTGGCCCACAACCGTCCAAACCTTTCCTATTCATGTAGTTATCTAAGTGTCTTTTAAATGTTGTAACGGTGCCCGCATCCACCACTTCCTGGGGAAGTTTATTCCACATGCACACCACCCTCTGTATAAAACATTTGCCCCCTTTTTATAATCTCTCTCCTGTCACTTTAAAAATTTGCCCCCTAGTCTTGAAATCCCCCAACCTAGGAAAAAGACATCAATCATTAACCCTATTTATACTTCTCATGATTTCAAAAACCTCTATAAGGTCACCTTTCAATCTTCCACCCTCCAGTGACAAAAGTTCCAGCCTATCCAGCGATAGTAAGAACGTTACCCTTAACAACTTCTCCTTCAACTCCTCCCACTTCCTACAGACTAAGGGAGTGGCCATGGGTACCCACATGGGCCCAAGCTATGCTTGCCTCTTAGTAGGATACGTGGAACAATCCCTCTTCCAAAGCTACACTGGCCCTATCCCCCACCTCTTCCTCCGCTACATCGATGACTGTATCGGCACCACCTCGTACTCCCACGAGGAGCTTGAACAGTTCATCCACTTCACTAACACCTTTCATCCCAACCTCAAGTTCACCTGGACCATCTCTGATACCTCTCTCTCCTTCCTGGACCTCTCTGTCTCCACCTCTGGTGACCACCTCGAAACTGATATCTATTTCAAGCCCACCGACTACCATAGCTACCTAGACTACACCTCCTCGCACCCAACTTCCTGCAAGAATGCGATCCCCTATTCCCAATTCCTCTGCCTCTGCCGCATCTGTGCCCAAGATGGGGTCTTCCACTCCCAAATATCCCAGATGTCCTCTTATTTCAAAGACCACAACTTCACCCCTTCAGTGGTCGAAAATGCTCTCGACCACATCTCTTGCGTGTCCTGCACCTCTGCCCTCACATCCCCTCCCCGCAACAAAAACAAAGACAGAATCCCCCTTGTCCTCAGGTATCACCCCACTAACCTACGGATTCAATGTATCATTTGCCACCACTTCCGCGATCTGCAGTCTGACCACACTACGAAGGATATATTTCCCTCCCCACCCCTATCTGCCTTCCGTAGGGGCCGTTCTCTCCATGACTCCCTTGTCCGCTCCACACTCCCCACTAGCCCCACCACCCCCGGCACCTTTCCCTGCAACCGCAGGAAGTGCTACACCTTCCCTACACCTCCCCCCTCACCTCCATCCAAGGAACCAAAAAAACCTTCCACATCAGACAGATTTTCACCTGCACATCCGCTAATGTAGTCTACTGCATCTGCTGCTCCCGATGTGGCCTCCTCTACATTGGTGAGACCAAGCGGAGGCTCGGAGACCGCTTTGTAGAGCACCTGCGCTCTGTTCACGACAAACAACACCTCCCAGTCGCAAACCACTTCAACTGGGTGACAAGTCCATCCTGGGCCTTCTCCAGTGTCACAACAACGCCACCCGGAAACTGGAGGCGCAGCATCTCATATTCTGCCTTGGGAGCCTACAACCCAATGGTCTCAAAGTGGACTTTACCAGTTTCAAAATCTCCCCACCCCTGGCCTTATCCTATGATCAACCCTCCCTCTCATCCCCGCCTCCTTGACCTAACACAACCTGTCCCTCTTCTCTCCCACCTTTCCGCTCCTCCCACCTCACTGACCAATCCCCACCACTGCCTACCTGCACTCACCTATCACCATCCCACCTACCTTCCCCAGCTCCATCCCTCCTCTCTCTATATATTTCAGAGTTCCCTTCCCCCCCTCCATTTCTGAAGGGTCCTGACCTGAAACATCAGCTTTCCTGCTCCTCTGATGCTGACTGGCCTGCTGTGTTCCTCCAGTTCCACACTGTGTTATACCAGCCTATCTTTATAACTCAAATCTTCCATACCCAGCAACATCCTGGTAAATCTTGTCTGAACTCTCTCCAGCTTAATAATATTCTTCCTGTAACAGGGTGACCAGAACTGGACATAGTACTCCAGAAGAGGCCTCACCAATGTCCTTTACTACCTCAGCCTGTCTTATTCAGTCAGGTATGAATCAAGCAAAAAAGGGGAGGAAAGTACTTAATTTGTAAAGCTGTGCTAATAAAGAGAGTTTTGATTAAACATTTTATTTCCTCCAGGTTATACAACAATTGGAACAATATTCCTGTTGGTAATATCAGTGAGGGACAGCATTTTAAATGGCGAATGCAGGGCAAGGCTGAATGAGTGGAACTAATTGCAAGATTAGAGTGACAGAAGGTTGAGAAATGTCCAAATTTCGGCTATTGAGAGTATTCACAGGCGACTTATAATTACACTTCCAAAACCCAATCCCACTTCATTAATCGTGCACAGTTAACAAGTTTCCTCACATCATAGATCTGTTAAATTTAGGAGATACCAACTAGATTTCAGCATCAGTATCACCAAGGTGTCAAACAGTTTTTCAATCGAATGTCATATTATTTCCCCCGGTGCTCGATAGGTCATTTTGGAACCACAATCACTGAATACCTGGTTCCGAATCCCGAATTCAACCAGGTTGCTGGGGCGGTATTACAGGTAGGTAGGTGGTTCAATGTGCATCGACGTAAACACACAACCATGTTCAGCAGAAACATGCCTTGCTTAAAACCGGCGTTTCCTCCCACTGTTTAGAGGAATTATAATGAAGAAGTGCATGGAAGAATGGAAGAATTTCCTGGTGCCAAAAGTTACGCAGTCATAAGTTGGGAAATGAGTACATATGGAGAGGGGAGACTTGTTGGATATTCGAAAAGGAGCAATTAGCTAGTTGAGCTCTATCCTGTAAACTTGGCTTTATAGCGTTAGAAAAAAAGTGCAAAGGGACAGTTTGGTGCAGGGCAAATTGGCGACCGGGGGGACAGAGTGGTTGGAAGAGACCGAAACCAATTTACCTCGATATATCTTGGCATGTCACACCTGAGGCACGTTAGATCTTTCCTGCAAAGATCGAGTGACTTGTCACTGCACCAGACATCGTGTGACTCTCCACTTGCCGCTTCGCCATGATCCGTTATGGGGGTGCAGAAGTGCCGAGCTTCAGGTATTCTCCCGGACCTGGAGCGGACTGCAGGCTGCTCCAGGCTCGACTTCATGGGGCGCTACACCAATGAAACTAAAGCAGTACAACGTGCTCACCCCATATAAGAGTTTTATTTAGAGCAGGCCATTGACTTGACAAAACAAAATACAGGGAAGAAAGGGAAAGCGATTTCTTGGGTCTTAAGATAAAAACATTTCCGGAATGGTGGTGGGATATAATTTGGATCTTACTCAATTTTGAGACAAAACAAAAACAACACTCAATGGAGAAGAAAGCATCTGGTCCCAATGTTTGGTCGGTTCTGAGAGTAATGCACAACCCCTGCCCCAATCTACTCCTTTCAATGTTGTAGCAAAGCCCCGGTCACCATGGAGATTGTTGTAACATTGTCGCTGTCAGCCCTCTTGCAGGGAGCCACTGAACACACCTTTGAAATGACATGGAAACTGCCCGGGGTTTCTAATGAAGCGTACAGACACACAGAGACATTGTGAAACGATCAGGGAACACTGATCATAGCACCCCCGCTTCCTAGGAAGCGCCTCAACCTGATTTACCCAGCCCACCTCTCACAACATCACAATCGCGTGTGTGCAGCCACCACAACAAGTTGCATTTATATAGTGCCTCCAACTTCGTGAAACGCCCACAGGGACATTGTCAGAGAGCGAGCCACAGGACGAGAGCCAGCTGACCAACGTTTTATGAAGAAGATAGTTTTTAGGGATTGTCTTAAATGAGGCAAGGGATGGAATTCCAGAACTCGCGGCCTCGTCTCCTGAAGGCAAGGACTCTGGTGGGGACTCAGCTGAAAACACGAAGTCAGAATTAGAGCAACTAATGCAGGCATCACAGAGGGTTGTGCAGATTACAGAAACACAAAAAACAGACAATGCTACTTAGGGATTTGAAAAACAAGGATGTGAGTTTTAAAATTAAGACAAAACCGAAATTGCTGGAGAAAATCCGCAAATCTGACAGCATTTCTGGGGAGAAAACACAGCCAACGTTTTGAGTGCAGTAACTGCTGAACTTCTCCAGCAATTTCTGTTTTTGTTTCAGTTCTCTAGCACCCGCTGTTCTTTATTTCATTCGAAATCAACACATTGTTAGTCCAGGTCCCAATGTAGGTCAGCAAACACACTAGTGATGGGTGAACAGAACTTCCTATGCGATAAAACACAGGCTGCAGACTTTCAGAAGATGTTTGGTTTGTCAGGTAGAATGTGGGACAGCAGCCGCGAGTGCAATGAAATTGTCAAGTCTAGAGGTAATGAAGGAATGGTCGAGGGTTTTGACAGTATATAAGCTGGGTTGGGTGCACACAAACATACAATAAGAACAGAATTACTCCTTTTGCCCCATCAAGCCTGCTTGGCATTTGATAAGATCATGACTGATCCTATTTATTTATTTATTTCAGAACTCCCTTCCCCTCCCCCTTTTCTGATGAAGGGTCTAGGCCCGAAACGTCAGCCTTTCTGCTCCTATGATGCTGCTTGGCCTGCTGTGTTCATCCAGCCCTGCACCTTGTTGTCTCGGATTCTCCAGCACCTGCAGTTCCTACTATCTCAGCTCCACACCTTGCTCCACACCTTGTTATCTAAGAAAAATGGGAAAATAGGTTAAGGGATTGGTGGGTAGAGATGCAGTGCAAAGACAAGTGATACCATGGAAGTTGAAATCGGTGGCCTTAGAGATGGATAGTTATGATGCAGCTGCAAGCTCATCTCAGGATCAAATGTGGCACCAAGGTTGGGAACAGACTGGCTTAATCTCAGACTGTTGCCAGGTAGAGGGATATAGTTGGCATCTACAGTAGAATGCTTGGAGTGGGAATTGAATGGCTTCAGCCTTCCCACTACAGAATCCTACAAAAGTTTGCATTTATGTAGCACTTTTAATGTCTGGATACTTTGCAAGGTGATTTGCAGGAGCGATTATCGAACAAAATTGAAACCTGAGCCACATAAGGGATTATTAAGATTAATGGGAAAAGATTAGTCAAAGAAAAAAAAACTGCAGTTGGATACAGCAAAACATGCCTGTGTTACAGATAACAGTTGCTTTTGTTTAATAATGGTTCAAAATCGCTCTTATTCATTTTCAAAGCAGACTTTTAGGTTTTAAACCAGAATATACTGAAGCATGCTAAACTCAGTGCATGAGTTCGAGTTAAACTATCAGAAGAAACACGAAGAATAGGGAACGATCTTTGGTTTTAACAAATCTGCCGCGTTTTGATTGTGATATTGAACTAGATTTTGCAACAATACTGACGCCAAAACTGCTCACTGATCCTCTGTCGGAACTTCTGGAGTCTGCACATGCGCAGTTAAATAATAATCCGTGCAAAGGGCGCACTGTTGAGACCCTGCCTCAAGTAACTAATTCTTTGCGAATTATTAAACAAGAGAGAACTTCTATCCGTTTACTCTTAGTCTCGCTTAAAAACCTTTAACAATGTTACACTTTTAAAAAAATGAAGTGTAGCTGCATTTTAAACAACATGCTAAATTTATATCAGAGATAGTAGGAACTGCAGATGCTGGAGAATCCGAGACAACAAGGTGCAGGGCTGGATGAACACAGCAGGCCAAGCAGCATCATAGGAGCAGATTCCTGCTAAACAACTTCACTGACACTGAACGAGCAATTTTATAATGATTCAATGAGTCATAGTGATACAGCACGGAAACAGGCCCTCAGCCCAGCCCCTCATGCTGACCACGTTTCCTAAACTGAACCAGTGCCATTTGCCTGTGTTTGGTCCATATCCATTTAAATCTTTCCTATCCTATATCTGTCCAAAAGACTTCTAACTTTTGTAATCGTACAGGCGTCTGCCACTTTCTCTGGCAGCTCATTTCATACACGCACCACCCTCCGTGTGAAAAAGTTGCCCCATTTAAATCTTTCTCCTCTCACCTTAAAACTATGCCCTCAAGTTTTGAATACTCCTACCTTTCGGAAAAAAAAGACCTTTGATATACACTGTATCTATGCCCCTCATGATTTTACAAACCTCCATAAGGTCACCTGTCAGCCTCCTACACTCCAGGGAACAAAAAGTCCCAGCCTACCCAGCCTCTCGTTATTACTTAAATGCTCCAGTCTGGGCAACAGTCTTGTTAATCCTTTTTGCACCCTTTCCAGTTTAATAACATATTTCCTATAGATGGGTGAACAGAATTGTATGCAGTACTGGAAATGTGGAACAGAATTGTATGCAGTACTGGAAACGTGTCCTTACCAACGTCGTGTAAGTTAATAAAATATTGCACAAAATCTCACTAAAAAAATCTTCTACTGAAATTCCATACTCATTTCCTTTACTATGTGTATAATCTGACAAAATTAAAAATTCCAATGCTTTATACTTCTTGGTATGTTGTTTGTGAGAATATCTCAGTGATAGCTTGCTTACCCTGCTTGATGACAGCACCGTTGCCAGATGCCTGAAGATCCTTTTGACTTGGGTCAGAAACAAACAGCCCATCGAACAGGAAAGGGAAGTCAGCACCAAAAAGATTGTTATATCTTAGTGGGTAAATTTCTTCAAGGTCAGCAATTCACATTGTTGCTTCACCATTGACCACCTCATCCTGGCTAATTTAGTTACAAGTTCAGATATGTTCAATGAATCTGAAATAATTGCAATGAAATATGGAGACATTTCATTTGGTGGCCGTAAATTTCAGAAACTAAGTTGGAATGTGTTTGTAACTCCAGCACATAGTTTATAAAACACTTGTCTCTGAATATGCAAATAATACACAGCACCTAACTGCACCCACATCCTGACATTAAAATGGAAAGTACAAGAATATTCAAACCACATAAAAGTGTCGCTTAAAAAAATGGAGTGCATCTGTGAAAATGAAGACGGTGCGAAGAAGTTTTTGGACTGTAAATACATTACAAGTGGAAACACCAGCAATATTTTGCTAACCTCGTTTATTTTGGTTTTTGGTAAATTACAGCACCAGTAGAATGTCGAATACAGGAAAGGTAACGCTACAGACTCCTATTCCCCTTCCTTCCAGAAAGGAAATCACTTAAAACGAATTCACCCATTGCATGGAAACAGCAAATCATTGTTCGGAAGAAACACTCTCATCTCTGCCACATACCACACATACAAATTTAAAGCATGCCCTTTTGATTAAAATAACACGAACTCCCATGCTGTCAGATGACGCCGGTGGCTCAATGCAAATCCACTCGGTCGCTGAAATGCAGGAGTTTTCATTTCGAAAGGTCTTCCTGAGGGTCCGGTGGAGGAGGTGGGCGTTCCAATTCCGCGCAATCATCAGTGAAGAACACAAGGTCCTGTGGTAGACGAAAAGACAAACAGGTGTCACTGAAATGAACAATGTAGACCGATTTTGTGCAGAGCCTAACGTACAGTGCGTCCAGCACGAGGAAACTAGAAACGCATTAAAAGTGAGCTTTTGTGCTTTCAGGCGTGCACTTGTTCTGTGGAGGAAGTTCAAACTATAAACTACAGCCTATAGTCCTTATATATAGCCCTTCCCCAAGTGAAGATGACAGCATTTATGTATACGTTACCCGGTAGCAGACTCGGTTGATCATGTTGTACAAGCGCTTGATGCGCAGTTTCAGAACTGCAATTCTCTTAAGCTCCCTGCACTGGGGAGTGATGAGATTGTCCAAAGCATAGAGGTGGTCGCGAAGTTTGACCATCACACAGGAGTTCTGAAACGCGAATACAGGTGATCAATACTCCAGACACAAACCATAACCACACCCCGAATTGCTATCTCCCTTCAAGTCCCAAGTACTTACGTGCACATTAATGTAGAGCTTTGGTAGGTTAGCAAGGCAGCGTTTCTGTGAAAGAAAGGTATTCATTGAGTTATAACAAGCACCATACAAAGAGAAGCGAGGAAAGCCAGACTGGTTTGTGGTTTACCGTGATCGAGAAGGTCTCTAATCTTCCCATTAACTCCGTGATTCCTTTACCCAATCTCAAAACAGCGGAGTAGCATGTTGGCGGGACAGAATCAGCGATGACAAGGAACGTGGAGA